TATGAAATTCTGAGGCCTCCAGCACATTTCCTATCAATAATTTATCAATCTCATCATTGCCTTGTGCTAGAGTGCCTGGCAGACCAGTATGGGATCGAATGTGAGATATATATAAAGGATGACTCCTTTTCCTGATTGTATCTTGTAATTGAATAAATAGTGAAGTTAATTCTGAAGCATCAGGGATATAAATTTTGCAGTCTCCATATGTAATACCACTCCTTCAGCATACTGAGAGTCACTTACTATGTTGAGAGTTTCTAAAAAATCCATTAATACCAAAAGAATAGCATACAATTCTAATTTTTGAACTGAATTATAAGGATTTTGAACCACTTTATTTAAATTTTCTGATTTGTAACCTGCCTTTCCTTGTTTGTTGGCATCTGTATAAAATGTATGAACTCCAGATATGGTTTTCCTTGTACAATTCGAGGCAACATCCAATCAGCTCTCTTTACAAGAACAATTCTATTGCTTTTGGGATACTTGCTATTAATTTTGCCCAAAAATTACTGCAAGCTCTTTGTCAAGGTTCACTTTCTGTCCATAATTTTTCCGTGTCCTCCATAGTTAAAGGTATGACAATTTCTGCTGGGTCTATTCCTGCTAATTGATGATGTCTCAATTTTCCTTTGAAAATCTAGTCAGAGTTTTTTTTCAACATAAGTTTTTAATGTTTTTTTACTTTTTTTTATTTCGTAAAAAAATCCATTCCAATATAATATCTTCCCTCTGCATTAATATTCCAGTAGGAGAATGCCTAGAAGGCAAAATAACCAAAATGCAATCCAGCTTTGGATCAATACGATCCATGTGCCCTTCATGTACTTTCTTTACCACCAACACCAATTCTTTTTCAGCTATAGGTGATAATTCTATTGGACTATTTAAGTCCTTGTCACCTTCTAAGGATTTGAACAAATTATGCAGTTCATCATTTTTTACCCCAACAATAGTTTGTAGATGACAAATATCTCCAAATAATCTTTGAAAGTCATTAAGAGTCTGTAGTTTATCTCTCCCAACTTGCACCTTTTAGGGTCTAATTTTTTGTAGCTGTATGTTATATCCTAAATAATTAATGGAATCTCCTCTTTGTTTCTTTTCAGGACCAATTTGTAATTCCCAGCAAGACAAAATTTTCTTTACTATTCTGACATTCAAGTCAGAGGCAGATATACTTGCACCTAACTTTTGAGTTTTGGGGTTAAAGTCATAAGACAATACACCTGGCTTGTTAGTTATTGTTCATACATTTTCTCTCATGTGTACTCTGTACTGTTCATCAGTTTCCTTTTCTCTGTTTGTTAATAGGCATTTCTCTTGTAATGTGGTATCCTATTCAAAGGGAACAGAAATGATAGAGGTTACCCTCCTGTTCAGTTTCCTTCTAAAGTGACTTGGCGATTACATTATAATATGTATGTCAGGAAATAAGTGTGAGGAGCACCAGAATTGTATGAATATACTGTCAAAGAAGTATACATTTATAATGTTCTCAGTATCATGCTTTCTGCTGTACATATATATGGGATATTTTAGAATGCAGTGACCTATGATGATGTGCATATCAACTTCACTTGGGAAGAGTGGACTTTGCTGGATCCTTTTCAGAAGAATCTCTACAAAGATGTGATGACTGATCCCTACAGAAACCTCACTATTATAGGTAAGCCAGTGTATTTTTTTCTTCACATTTTAAAATAAGGGGACAACTGTTTCTTGGTTTTGGATATTTGGGATGTAATTTCATTGAGAAAGAAGAGTGAGGTGAATAAATCAGGCATGTTTCTAAGATTCACTGAAGATAGTAACATAAATTTTACAATGTTTTCAATAATATAAATTTTCTGGTACTCTATTTTAGGATATAGTTGGGAAAATCATAATATTGAAGCACATTTTCAAAATTCTAGAAGACATGTAAGGTAATTTTCCTGTGCAAGCTGATAAAAATATGCCTGTGAAGAAATTATATTGTGTCCAAGAAATTTTTAACAAAAGCAGCAGTGTAAATAAGTACCACTAAAAGTGAATTGATGATTATTAAATTTTCATAAAAACATAAACCTCAATTTCACTTTGATGAATTGCATTTGCAAGGCATTCTTTTAAGATCAATGCCAAAGAAACAATTTCTCAAAAGAGATCACCATTAGAATCATAGCATCATGAGAGCTATGCTGTAGAACTGTCATTATTTTTATTTCATAACATTACTATTACAAACGTTACGCACAGTGAAGATGTGATGAGTATATTGTCAAATATATTGTCAAATATACTATTGAGCAAATAGTCCATATTAAAGCTAGTGTATCTCATATATTTGTGACTGTGCTGTTTAGTGAGTGGGCCAGTTAGAGTCAAAAGTCAAGGGATGTTGTTGAGGAGAAACCTTAATCCCAACACCACAAGTCTATGAGGACAGAAAGTCCAATAGAATTCAATGTGGAAATCCATTATCTGTTATTCTTCCTTTGCTAGCTATATCACCTGCCCTTCTGGAAACAAGCCATATGAGCATAGGTATATGGAAGACATAACATACCTCATTCTTATAAAATTAGAAGATATGTAGCAGTCTCCACATTAAGTATACTTGTTGAATTTAATTCAAGTATGGAAGTAATTGATTTTCTATCTTCATTGTTAATTTATTAACAAACTCATACTACAGAGAAGCCCTATGAGTACTAGGACTGCTTAAATAAAACATGGGTGTAAAAACAATGATGAAATCTTAAGAACTGTTTCCTCTTTAAAATTAGACCAAATTGTAAATTTAATTCATACAGAAATAAAGAGTCAACAGTATAATGATTATGGTAAAGATTTTACATGTGCTTGCAAGCATGAAAGAAGTCAAACTGGAGAGAAGAAACCTTTCATATATACTAAATGTTGTAAAACCATTGTATATGAGAGTCAACTTCAAAGGCATGAAAGTGCACCTATGGGACAGAAACGCTTTCAATGTAATCAGTGTGTTAAAGACTTTGCCAAACACAGTAATCTTCAAATACATAAAAGAGCCCATACTGGAGAGAAAACCTATGAATGTCATCAATGTGGTTAAGCCTTTGCATATCACCAAACTCATCAAATGCATGAAAGAACACATACTGGACATAAACCCTATGAATGTAATCAATGTGGTAAAGCCTTTGTACATCACAAACATCGTCAAATACATAAAAGAAGTCATACTGGAGAGAAACCCTATGAATGTAATCAATGTGGTAAAGCCTTTGCACAATATTCTCATCTTCAAAGTCATAAAAGAAGACATACAGGAGAGAAATCCTATGAATGTAAGGAATGTGGTAAAGCCTTTGCATGATTCAGTCATCTTCAAAGGCATAAAAGAACGCATACTGGAGAGAAACCCTATGAATATAATCAGTGTGGTAAAGCCTTTGTACAACATGGTTATCTTCAATGTCATAAAAGAACACATACTGGAGAGAAACCCTATGAAGGTAACCAATGTGGTAAAGCCTTTGCACATCACCAAACTCTTCCAATGCATAAAAGAATATATACTGGTGATAAACTCTGTGAATGTAGTCAATGTGGTAAATTATATGCTGTAGTGGGTAGCCATTCCAGCTTGGTTCTGGAAGTTCCAACCCCCATTGATACTCTGGCAACTGTCACGCCTACGAGGCGGGGTGAGGGGAGGCGCCGGGGGACCCGAGAGCTGGATGGGCCAGCGCTCGCTCTGGGCGCTCTCTCGGTGCTGGAACGCTGACCGGTGCAGATTGACTGTGCAGAGCTCCGGAGAACACCGCTGGATTGCGATACACCTTCCCCAGACCCTGCGACCTACCCATTACTTAATTTGTGAGTTACGCCATTTAATAAATATCCTTTTAACTACGTGGAGTGGCCAAAATAATTTCTCCAATAATATGCTCATCACAGTACTCTTCAAATACATAAAAGAAGACATGCTGGAGCAAAAGCCTAGGACCATAATTAACGTGGTAAAGTTTTTCGTCATCAGAGTTATCTTCAAATGCATGGAAGATCACATACTAGAGAGAAATCCCATGAATTTAATCAATGTTGTGAGGACTTTCTTCAAACATAGTACTCTGGAAATGCATGAAACAACACCTACTGGAGAGAAATCCTATGAATGTAATCTGTGTGTTAAAGCCTTTGTAGATATCAGTAATCTTTGAAATCATTAGAAAAAATCATACTGAAGAGAAACCTTACAAATACAGTCAGTATCATACATTTTTGCTCTTTATGCATGAATAAAACTTTTTCTGTGCAGTCAATCTCTTAAAGTCTTTGCATATTACAATAGAGTTTGAGTACCTGTAAAAAGTACTGAGGGCTTAATATAATAAAGTATTTGGCAAGATTTTTATCTAAAACACTTGAATTCATTTACCCAATGGTGTTCATTCTGTAAAAAAACAATATCACAGTATCAGCAATTGGTGCATGCATCATGATGTCCATTTTTACAATGTTTGCCCCTGTAAAACCATGGAATAAATGAATTTAGTACTTTATAAAGCCCTCTGTGTAGGGTAAAATGTCAGCCAAAGAAACACCTGGAAACTAAAACCAGAGCCGGTGAAAAACATTCAAGTTGGCACTGAAACCAGAACCAAAGAAATAAAATCTACCTCTGACCATGTGATGAGAAAATCATTCAATCCATGAGCAGAAAATCCAACCAATCCATGAGCACAAAACCAACCAATCACACTTCATGAAAGACTCCCAATCTCTGAGCTTGAGTTTAAAATCCAACCAATACCTACCCTCAAAATCTTTTCCCTGGAAATCTCCACCACTATGAAACCCTGTAGAAGCACTGTGTCTGTTCACCTGGCAGCTGCCCCTTTTCACACTGACACAGGCAACAACTGTTCTGGATTCCTCTCCCCTACATATATCTCTTGATTTAGATTTGGGTGAAGATCTTCCTTTGCCAGAGGAGAGCAGAATCTCTATAGGGAAACTCGCTAGGGCAGTGGAACAGAGAAATAATGGACAACTCTCCTGGGAAATTCTCATAAGGGAGTGGAGCAGAGCAGCAAAGGACATCTTTGCTGGAAATCTCTCTTAGCTGAGTGTAGCACAGCTGTGCTATAATGGCTCTTATTTTGGAGAGGAACAGGTTTCCCACATCCTTCAAGTAAACCACCCCACACTGGGACAAACTTTCAGGACTAGCCTAACTTTCTAATAGTCATTATTCCTATCTCCTCACAGCTTTAGGTATCTAGCTTCCTTGCACAGATTTTTTGAGCTGTAGGTATCCTGGAAACCTTTACTCCACAGCTTCAGGTAGAGCCTGAAACACGAACAGCCAGGATATCTTTCTCCTCTCAATTGTGTATAAGTAGGACACCTTTCACTTGCAACTAGAGGTGTAGCCTAACTTTTGATACTCAGGGAACTTTTCCTTTCAGAGCAAAACACCTCCTCTATGAATTTAAATAACAATGTAGTATTTTTAGATTTTATACTTTTCTTTATTTACATAAAAAACTAATTCAAGCATTATAGATTTTTATTAGTTCCTTTTCTGTTCTTCTTATATAATGTGTATGTCAACTAATAATGAGTTTTATTTGGCCCCAGAGGGACACAGGATCACCATGTAAGTTGGATGGCAACAAATATCAGACATGGCAGCTGAACCGGGAGCTCACATCCTTAGCCTAAAACATAAAGCATAGAGTGGGAACTGAAAATGATGTGTGGATATAATTTATCAAAGCCTACCCCCAGTGACATATTTCTTCAGCAGAACAGCATTTCCTAAACCTTCACAAATTATACTGCCAACAGAAAAGGATTTCTCTGACTTCAAGTACACATGCTTGTTTTCTGTTATATGAACGAACTCACAATGAAAAAAATCTCTGTTAACCTTTAAATGTCTCAATACCTGTGTTACAGCAATGCATGCTTACAAATGAAAAAGTTTCATCAGTGAAAAATTGTTTTTTAAAGAGTTGTTTTAATTTTAATTATGTGATGTCAGTACATGTTTTGGGGGTATGTGAATTTGTATGCCAGTTTCTGAAAATGTTAGGTTCTTGAATCTTCTTGTAGCCAGAACTAAAGCAAGTTGTCAAAATCAAGTCTTATTCCTGGGAATGAACTTTCCTTAACTACCCAACCATGTCTCTAGCCATGAAAATATTTTAAAACCTATTTATATCATGTTAAAATCAGGAAATAGGGACAAATTCGTACACAAAAAAAAATTTATTCATGTAAACAACTTGGTACAGATTTTAGACATCACAATTGTCTTCAGCTTAAAGAAAAAGATCTTACTTCATTTTCTTTTCATCATAGCCTTGAAGGAAGTAAATTAGTTACTATGTTTAGGCAAGATTGATGGGGGAGATAAATGCATTTTCTTTTCTATTTCGAAACATTTGAGGTAGATACCAGAGTGTGCTATATGTGTGGTAAATTCATTTAGTTAAATTTACTTTTGTGGTCTTCATATTCTTCTGTGGCTTTTGTTCATCTTCCGTTGTGTTTTTACTTAGTGATATGTATTTTTCTGTTGTAATACACAAAATGGGAATCCAATCATCTTACTAGTCTATTGTTTATTTAAATACCAGGCAGTGTATTATCATACATTCTGAGTAAGAGTGTCTGTGAAAGGGTGGTGTGTTGTGCTGTTTGGTTTTGATTTCACATTTTCACAAATTCTCTTGAGATTTTGTTTTTTATATTAAGCCTGGCATTGATTTTAGTAATGATTCAAGTATGCATTTGATCTCATGGTCCTCATGTTTCTACCTCCAGAGTAGTCCAAGTGTAGATAATCTACTCCCAATGTGTGCTGTTTTGTAAGACAACGATATTAATTTTAAAATGCTTAATACATAAGAATATAAGAAACATTAAATACTTTGTGTATATTCAGAGCCATGTTTTCATGTATCTGGTAGCAATGTAGCAAAGTAGAATAATCACCAATTAGTTGTTTATCTTACATCATCAGGGCAGAGCTGTTGTGAGCAGCTTGAGGTGTTCAGGATACCTCGCACTCCAAGGCTGAACTGTCCCCTTGTCATTCTAGCCATCAGAACTGTGCTAAACATCTCCAGGTGTCCAGGACAACTTCAGGGCAGAGCTGCTCTTCTGAGATGCTCAAGATGTGTGGGATGCCTTTCACTCCAGGTCCAAACTGTCTCCTTGCAGTTCCTGACATCAGAGCTGTCTTATGCAGCTCAAGGTGTTGCCTGACTCACAGGTACTCAGGACACCTTTCCCCAGAGTTGTTGGAACAAATTTACCTACATCGTTGTTGCCAAAAACCAGGACCAAACCCAAAGAGTGGCATACAATTTACTTACAGCTATTTTGAGTCTAGGCCAGCAGGGGCATGCTGTTTAGATCATGGGAGGTGGAGGTGTATGAGCTCTCTCAGTAGGTTTGCTGAAATAGCTGTCTAAAAATTTACTTAGTGTGTACTCCACAGGTGTGCACCCTCCAGAAACTGTGAAGATGTTTCTCCTGTTTTCAAAAACAAATTCTCCATGATCATACCTGTGACAATGGAGACAAAAATAACATCATTAACAGATTTTAGGATGGGATTCAACATCATGCCAGATTTATAAACTCTCCAAAGGAATATCTATGTATCACTAAAATAAGTACACTGGCAGAACTATAATGCTCCAAGTGGTGCTCCCAATTTTCACCAAGGTATCACCTGGGAACTGTGAGATAGGGAACTCCTCATGTCCAACCACAGATCCGTGATTGCAGGGAATAATGGGATATACATGCACAAACACATAGAAAAATACACAACACATACACATGTGAGAGACAGAGAAAAATATACTTAGAAAGACAGAGAGAGAATGAGAGTGGGAGAACTCCATCAATTGGATCCTGAACAAATGCATGCAGGTGTGTCCTCTCAGAGAGGAACAAAAGGAGCAGGGAGCAGTCTCAGTCCTTGTATCCACACATTTAGATGTGTGACTAGGACTCTCCAACTGCTGCTTGGAGAATCAAACACACAAGGCCTTTCCAAGCAAGTAACAAAACAATCAAGTCAAACTAACAGCAACTAACATCTCACAGTAGCCAGCACTTGATAGAATCTCTTCAAATGCATACTGGGA